TTCTCTCGCTCATTCTCTCCTCGTTCTCTCGCTCATTCTCTCCTCGTTTCTCTCCTCATTTCTCCTCGTTCTCTCGCTCATTCTCTCTCGTTCTCTCTCATTCTCTCCTCGTTCTCTCGCTCATTCTCTCCTCGTTCTCTCGCTCATTCTCTCTCGTCTCTCGCTCATTCTCTCCTCGTTCTCTCGCTCATTCTCTCCTCGCTCATTCTCTCCTCGTTCTCTCTCTCATTCTCTCCTCGTTCTCTCATTCTCTCCTCGTTCTCTCGCTCATTCTCTCCTCGTTCTCTCGCTCATTCTCTCGTTCTCATTCTTCTCGCTCATTCTCTCCTCGTTCTCTCGCTCATTCTCTCTCGTTCTCTCGCTCATTCTCTCCTCGTCTTCTCTCGCTCATTCTCTCTTCTCTCCTCATTCTCTCCTCGTTCTCTCGCTCTCTCCTCGTTCTCTCGCTCTTCTCTCCTCGTTCTCGTTCTCTCGCTCATTCTCTCGCTCATTCTCTCGTCTCTCTCATTCTCCTCGTTCTCTCGCTCATTCTCTCCTCGTTTCTCTCGCTCATTCTCTCCTCGTTCTCTCGCTCATTCTCTCCTCGTTCTCTCGCTCTTCTCTCGCTCATTCTCTCCTTCGTCTCCTCGTTCTCTCGCTCATTTCTCTCCTCTTCTCTCCTCGTTCTCTCGCTCATTCTCTCCTCGTTCTCTCGCTCATTCTCTCCTCGTCTCTCTCATTCTCCTCGTTCTCTCCTCATTCTCTCCTCGTTCTCTCGCTCATTCTCTCGTTCTCTCGCTCATTCGTTCTCTCCTCGTTCTCTCGCTCATTCTCTCCTCTCTCCTCGTTCTCTCGCTCATCTCTCTCCTCGTTCTCTCGCTCATCTCTCTCATTCTCTCGTTCTCTCCTCGTTCTCTCGCTCATTCTCTCCTCTTCTCTCTCGTTCTCTCGCTCATTCTCTCCTTCTCGTCTCTCTCGCTCATTCTCTCCTCGTTCTCTCTTCTCTCTCGTTCTCATCTCTCTCCTCGCTCATTCTCTTCGCTCATTCTCTCCTCGTTCTCTCGCTCATTCTCTTCCTCGTTCTCTCGCTCATTCTCTCCTCGTTCTCTCGCTCATTCTCTCTCGTTCTCTCGCTTTCTCTCCTCGTTCTCTCGCTCATTCTCTCCTCGTTCTCTCGCTCATTCTCTTCTCTCCTCGTTCTCTCGCTCATTCTCTCCTTCTCCTCGTTCTCTCGCTCATCTCTCTCTTCTCTATTCTCTCCTCGCTCGCTCATTCTCTCGCTCATTCTCTCCTCGTTCTCTCGCTCATTCTCTCTCTTCTCTCGTTCTCTCGTCTCTCTCGCTCATTCTCTCCTCGTCTCTCGTCATTCTCTCCTCGTTCTCTCGCTCATTCTCTCCTCGTTCTCTCGTTCTTTCTCTCCTCGTTCTCTCGCTCATTCTCTCCTCGTTCTCTCTCATTCTCTCCTCGGCTCATTCTCTCTCGTTCTCTCGCTCATTCTCTCCTCGTTCTCTCGCTCATTCTCTCTCGTTCTCTCGTTCTCTCTCGTTCTCTCGCTCATTTCTCTCGCTTTCTCTCTCGTTCTCTCGCTCATTCTCTCCTCGTTCTCTCGCTCATTCTCTCCTCGTTCTCTCGCTCATTCTCTCCTCGTTCTCTCCTCGTTCTCTCTCCTCATTCTCTCGCTCATTCTCTCCTCGTTCTCTCGCTCATTCTCTCCTCTTCTCTCGCTCATTCTCTCCTCGTTCATTCTCTCGTTCTCTCGTTCTCTCGCTCATTCTCTCCTCTTCTCTCCTCGTTCTCTCGCTCATTCTCTCCTCATTCTCCTCGTCTCTCGCTCATTCTCTCCTCGTTCTCTCGCTCATTCTCTCCTTCTCGTCTCTCATTCTCTCCTCGTTCTCTCTCCTCTCCTCGTTCTCTCGCTCATTCTCTCGCTCATTCTCTCGTTCTCTCGTTCTCTCGCTCATTCTCTCCTCATTCTCTCTCGTTCTCTCGTTCTCTCCTCGTTCTCTCGTCATTCTCTTCCTCGTTCTCTCGCTCATTCTCTCCTCGTTTCTCTCGCTCATTCTCCTCGTTCTCATTCTCTCCTCGTTCTCTCGCTCATTCTCTCCTCGTTCTCTCCTCATTCTCTCCTCGTTCTCTCGCTCATTCTCTCGTTCTCGCTCATTCTCTCCTCGTTCTCTCGCTCATTCTCTCCTCGTTCTCTCTCATTCTCTCCTCGTTCTCTCGCTCATTCTCTCGTTCTCTCGCTCATTCTCTCCTCGTTCTCTCGCTCATTCTCTCCTCGTTCTCTCGCTCATTCTCTCT